CTACCAGCTTGTTGCAATATTTTCAGGATCAGACTCAATAAAGATAATAGGAGTTAGAGCTTTAAATATATTTCTTTTTAATTATGATAGGCATTCTATATTCACTGAATATTCAAGGTAGAAGCGACGAGAATGGTGAGGGTGGCTCCTTATATATACAAGGGGTGGAGCTAGGAATGGGAGTGGTAAGTTATGAATACATTAAAGTCCAAAGAATAAGTTAACCTCTGATGTTCCATATATACATTATTTACACATTGGAGAATAAGGCATTTACATCTGACACTCTCTCTCTGTCTCTGTCTCTCTGTCTCTGTCTCTCTGTCTCTGTCTCTCTGTCTCTGTCTCTCTCTGTCTCTCTGTTTCTCTCTGTCTCTCTGTCACTGCCTCTCTGCCTGTGTCTGTCTCTCTGTCTCTCTATCTCTCTCTGTGTCTCTCTGTCTCTCTATCTGTCTCTGTCTCTTAGTCTCAGTCTCTCTCTCTCTCTCTCTCTCCCCCCCCATTAATGCAAAATGGTCACCTCCAGTGGTGGTTTTCAAATTTTTTTATTACCGGTTCTGTGGGTGTGGCTTGGTGGGCATGGCATGGCATACTGGGCATGGCTTGGTGGGCATGGCAGGGGAAGGATACTGTAAAAACTCCATTCCCACCCCATTCCAGGGGAAGGATACTGCAAAATCCCCATTTCCTCCCAATCAGCTGGGACTTGGGAGGCAGATAGATGGGGGAGGGGCCAGTCAGAATTTTTACTACCAGTTCTCCGAACTACTCAAAATTTCCACTACCGGTTCTCCAGAATTGGTCAGAACCTGCTGAAACCAACCTCTGCTCACCTCACTCTTTTGATAGATGCCCCTTTGTGCCCCTTTAACAATGCTGTTAAAGAAATTTAAATGAAAAAAAAAGTTGATATAAATTTTATGAATGGATTTGCCAATGGTATTTTAAATCTTGTGTGACAGATACTTACAAATGGACAAGAGAAGAGGAATAAGGATAAAAAAATAATTATGGATATCTACAAGTATATGACTATGGCAGCTGGTAGGAAACAAGTTAAATGATGTGTCCAGAAACAGATCAATGACTTTTGATTCATCGTAGCAGAGCTACGGTGGAGAAAAAGTGATATCCTGATCTCCGCTCCTTCCGTCGGGACCTGAAGACTTGGCTGTTCAAGCAAATAGGCTGATTCTGGGTTTTATTATTTATTATTTAATTAGTTAATTTGGTTTAAAATGGGATTTTGTTGTACATGTTTTTAACTTGTGTTCGCCGCCCTGAGTCCTTCTGGAGAAGGGCGGCATATAAATACATGAAATAAATAAATAAATAAACAAACAAACAAATAAATAAATATATTTCCTATATACACAATACACAATAGCAGTGTTGGAAGGGACCTTGGAGGTAATCCAAACCCCAGCTCAGGCAGGAAACCCCTGTACCATTTTAGACAAATTGTTGTCCAATCTCTTCTTAAAACTTTCCAGCATTGGACAATTCACAACTTCTGAAGGCAAGTGCTTCCACTGACAGTTAATTGTTCTAACTGTCAGGAAATTTCTCCTTGGTTCTAGGTTGCTTCTCTCCTTGATTAGCTTTTGTCCATTGCTTCTTGTCCTGCCCTCAGGTGCTTTGGAGAATAGCTTGACTCCCTCTTTTTTGTGGCAGCCCCTGAGATATTGGAACACTGCTATCATGTCTACCCTTTTCCTTCTTTGCATTAAATGTGTCATATATATCTATATGCATACACCTACACACACACGTACACACAATATATATATATATATATAAAAACATCAAAAACATCATCAAAAATATCATCAAAAAAGCTCAATAAAGAATGTTCTTTCTGCGCAAACTCAGAAAGCTCAAACTGGCCGAAGGAGCTGCTGATCCAGTTCTACAGAGGAATGATTGAGCTGTCATCTGTACCTCCATAACTGTCTGGTTTGGCTCTGCAACCCAACAAGACAAACACAGACTTCAACGGATAATTAGAACTGCAGAAAAAACAATGGCTACCAACCTGCCTTCCATTGAGGACCTGCTTACTGCAAGAGTCAAAAAGAGGGCTGTGAAAATATCTACAGACCCCTTGCATCCTGGACATAAATTGTTTCAACTTCTACCCTCAAAACGACGCAATAGAGCACTGCACACCAAAACAACTAGACAAAAGGACAGTTTTTTCCCAAATGCCACCACTCTGCTTAACAACTAATTCCCACAACACTGTCAAATAATTTACTAAGACTGTATTACTATTATTCTTCTCTTCCTTACTAGTATCTATCTCTTCCCACTTATTACTACAACCAGGTTGCTTGTACCTTTCAATTAGGAGCCTGAGTGGCATAGGAGGCTAATGCCTCCTAAGGCAGCATTTAACATCCAGCTGCCTGCAATTATTGCGAGTTCAATTCTCCCCAGGCTCAAGGTCGACTCAGCCTTCCATTCTTTCTAAGGTGGGTAAATTGAGGACCCTGTTTGTGGGGGCAATAAGCTGACTTTGTATAAATATACAAAAGTATAAAGGCTATTGCTTAACGCATTGTAAGCCGCCCTGAGTCATATATATATATATATATATATATATATATATATGTGCGATATTTTTGCAATAAGGGTTTTTTCTATGTTGAAAGATGTTAAAATGGCCATGGTGGGATGAAATCTCTATTCATCACTTTCAGACCTGTCAGAAATTTTAGATCCTGTAGAGGTCAAATATTTATTTCTTTTGATTCATATAAATGTGCGATATTTTTGCAATCAGGTTTTTTTCTATGTTGAAAGATGTTAAAATGGCCATGGTGGGATGAAATCTCTATTCATCACTTTCAGACCTGTCAGAAATTTTATGTTGTTTCTTCTGTGACTTATGGGAGACTGGGATAGCACTATTTCGGCCTTTTTAGGCCTCTTTAGCCAGACACACCCATATTTTGTGACTCCTCCCTGTAGAGGTCAAATATTTATTTCTTTTGATTCATAGGTATAAATGTGCGATATTTTTGCAATCAGGGTTTTTTCCTATGTTGAAAGATGTTAAAATGGCCATGAAGAGGCCTAAAAAGGCCGAAATAGTGCTATCCCAGTCTCCCATAAGTCACAGAAGAAACAACATAAAATTTCTGACAGGTCTGAAAGTGATGAATAGAGATTTCATCCCACCATGGCCATTTTAACATCTTTCAACATAGGAAAAAACCCTGATTGCAAAAATATCGCACATTTATACCTATGAATCAAAAGATATATATATATATATATATATATATATATATATATATATATATATATATATATATATATATATATTGTTTTTATTTGTTTCCTAGTATGATTTGATAAGTTTATTAGTAACCTTGACTAACACTAAGTGTTGTATCTTTTCATTCTTGATGAATATATTTTATTCTCCTTATGTACACTGAGAGCATATACACCAAAGACAAATTCCTTGTGTGTCCAATCACACTTGGCCAATAAAGAATTCTATTCTATTCTATTCTATTCTATTCTATTCTATTCTATTCTATTCTATTCTATTCTATTCTATTCTATTCTATTCTATTCTATTCTACACTCACACACACACACACACTATAGACTGTACACAAAACATATATATGTTGTAAAATTCTAGGTGAGTCACACGCCATCCATAGTTCAACACAGCATTACTTTTCACTATTTCTCCAATCCTGCCCCTCATAACAGGAGTGTCTCAGTGCTTCCTAGGAGATCTGTTCCCTGCTTAACTCTCTAGGAAAAGGACCATCTGTTACATAGGTGGATGGGATGAAAGAAGTGGGTGGAGAGATTGGGAATCATGAATGGTCAAGAGGGAGATTGGCATTTAACTAGAAAATTGATTTGGTGTGATTAAAAACCCAGCCCACTGTGTTTCCCCAAAAATAAGACCCTGTCTTATGGTGTGGGGTTTTTTTGCCACCAAAAAAGGCACCAGGTCTTATTTTCGGGGTATGTTATCCACTGACTCACCTCACTTGCACAAAAAGGAGCAAAAAGGAGCCCCTGGCCTCCTTTTTGCCATCAGAGGCCTTCAGGAACATCTACTTTTGCAGCCTGCAAGGCCGGCACGGCTTTCCCGAAGGCCTCTGCAGCCGATAACAGAGCTCCAGATCGATCCGGAGCTCTGTTATCAGCTACAGAGTCCTTCGGTGAAGCCTTGCCGGATGCAGAAGAAATGGGCTAGCAAGGCAGGTGTCGGGGTGCGCGAGGCCTGGCTGCAACTGTCCGAAGGTAAGTAATAGGACAGCTCCACCTCCCCATCCCCGCCCTAGCTTAATTTTTACCCGTGGACCCAGGAGTGGGCGGGGTCTTATTTTGGGGATAGGGCTTATATTGGGCACACATGTAAAAATCAAGCTAGGATTTTCTTTTGAGATAGGCCATATTTTTGGGAAAACACAGTAACACCATTTGCATTCTATGCTGCCAAAAATAACAAACCTTAGATCATGGTTTACAAATCACAGCGGTTGTGCAAAGGCAGAACCAAATCACAGCTAAAGTTGTTTTCTTGCACTAGCACTGATGACTAGCACCAAGTTTGGGTAACGAAAACAAGCAAGCTCAGAGAGCACCAAGGACCCCTCATTTTAACCCTGAGCTACAAATATTCTCCTTTATTGGTACCACAATTAAAGTTGCATGGGGTATTGCCAAAATAAAGCACAAGACAAGAGGGACGTGCACACAATGATTTTGTCTGTCTTTGGGTTTGACATCAATAGAGGAAATAGACATAGAGTACCTATTACAGATTTCCCTGTAATGCATTTCTTCACTGCTTCAGGAATCCCTGAGGGATCTTTGCAAGCCAATCTTGAATACCTCTTACATCATCTGCTTCAAAATAATAATTATCTCCGTGGCTTATAAGAAGTTACTTCTATGTTCATTGCCATAAAAATATGGAAGGCATGCATGCAGAAAAATTGTCCTGTATACACCTGCGAACTAAGAATCATTCCAAAGGCACTCTGAATGGTGAATATTATCTTTTCCTAAATTTAAATTAGGAAATAAAGTTGTGAAGGATAATTTTCCTTCTTTTGGTTTGTCAGTACATGCAGTCTTGTCTAACAAACTGGGAGATGGTTTTATTGGCAGAAAGAAGATAATAACATAGCATAGGATTCATTAAATTTGTATGACTATTTTAAAGTAAATTGGAAATGGAGGAGGATTGTGGAAATGTTTCAATGCTTGGGTCAAGAATATTGGGTTTTAATACTGTTCCCGAAAATCAAGAGACTGATTGCAAAGTTTCAGATTGTTGCATTAAGTAAAGGATGGTTAGGACTGATTTAGAAACAAAACTGAAGACAAATTTTGTTTAATCATATACTGTACCATGTTTCCCCAAAAATAAGACACTGTCTTATATATTTTTTTTGAATGCTGAAATAAGCACTTGGCCTTATTGCCATGTGTTCAAAAGCCCAATTGGGCTTATTATCAGGGGATGTCTTATTTTGGGGGAAACAGGGTAGTGGCCAAAATTGTGGAAACCTTTGGGGAAAAGTGTATTTTTAAAAACTAATTAATAACACCACTTTTTTTTTTTTTGGAGTAGTACCATAAAAATATATATGAATGGAAAGATAACTTAATCAAGAATGTAATGCAAGAAATTTTATGAAGGATTTGCTATTAGAATGGCAGTTACAGTATAAAGAAGAAAAGGGAGACACGTAGAAAAAACGAGATATGCAAAAATGATCACCATAGAAAAAACGAGATATACAAAAATTATCATTATGTCAGTTAATACTTAGTTGGGTAACCTTTAGCATGAATTACAGCCTTACAATGCCTTCCCCATGGAGCAAACCAAATCTTTTAGTTCTGCAGCTGTTATCATGTGAAACCAAGATGGAATGATTGCTTCAATTAATTGGGTTTTATTGCTGGGTCACTTCTGACTAACAAATTTCTTTAGTCGGCTCCATAGATTTTCAATTGGGTAAAGGTCTGGGCTATTCCCAGGCCATTCCAGCAGTGGAATAGGATTATCTTGAAACTCAAAAAAAAAAAAAAAAAGTGGTGTTATTAGACATCAAACCTCAAAAATACACTTTTCCCAAAAGGTTTCCACAATTTTGGCCACTACTGTAATTGGATGGGATTAAGACCTATCCTGCTGCACTGGCAGAAAATGATTTAGTGTTATTTGAAGAGGAATAATTTTTGAGAGCCGACATTTCTGGCCACTGTTTTTGGTAATTGTCGAACAAGGAAGACATATGGGAGGAGGGAATCTGCGTTGCCACATTGGGACGATCTCCACTATAGATTGATTATGTGTCATCAAATCATTTCTTTTACTCCTACGGAACATGCAGATTTTTTTCCCCATGATGATCTGTCCTTAAACTGGTCCTTCAACTTTTCCAATGGTTCATTCATCATTGCTGTAACTGAGTTTCTCCACTTTGCTTCTGGTCTTTCTATTCTTTTGATTCCTTCCACCTTTCTGAGCATTACAACTGTCTCCGGAGAGCTAGGTCTCTCCATTATAGACACAATAGAAATGTCATCGGTTTGTTACATTCTTCTCTATGATCCTCCCTTCTTGGGTTTGCACGGGGATTCAAAGTAACAGAGATAATACAGAGATAGAGACTGATACGAGTTGGAAGGGACCTTGATGGTCTTTTAGTTCAAATCTTCTCAAGCAGGAAACTCTACACCATTTTCCACAAGTGGTTGTCCAGTCTCTTCCTAAAAGCCTCCAGTGATGGACCACCCACAACGACTGAAGACTAGCCATTTCATTGGTTAATTGTTAAATGTTTCTAGAATGCCTTTTTGCAAGTTCACTTTTATGACGACACCTTTGTGCTGGTTTACCCTTCCTTAGCATTATGCCACGAGGATGGAGCGAGGAGATGGATTCAACACAAGAACATATTTAGGGAAATTTTTGGACTAATGAACTCTCTGACAAAACGTTCATCCTCCAGATTTCTCAGTCATGCAAACACAACCTGTACACTTGTAAACCAGGATCTATAGAGACTTGGCACGGAGATTCTGCAGGGCATATTCCAGTGGTGAAATTCAATTTTTTTTTACTATTGGTTCTGTGGGCGTGGATTGGTGGGTGTGGCAGGTGAAGGATCCTGCAAAATCCCCATTCCCTCCCCACTCCTGGGGGAAGGATATTGCAAAATCTCCATTCCCACCCCACTCTGGGGCCAGCCAGGGGTGGTATTTTCTGGTTCTCCGAACTGCTCATAATTTCCACTACCAGTTCTCCAGAACCTGTCAAATCCTGCTGGATTTCATCCCTGGCATGTTCCCCTACAATGAATTACAGTAGCGGCCAAAATTGTGGAAAGCCTCTGGAGCCTGGGGAGGGCGAAAACAGACCCACCGTGTCATTGCATGCCAAAAGCGGGGGTCGTGCAGGGGGGTCACCCACACATACCCCCGCTTTTGATGGCAAAAAGGTGAGCCATCACTGCCTTAGACTAATGATCTGATAATAATCAAAGCTGGTGAAATTGGATTTATTGGAAATTTGCGATTAAAATGAAATTGGAGTTGTAGTAATCTCTTATCGTTTCATTCTATTTTCAGGAATGAACTGAATGGCAAACAGCACCACAGTGAGAGAGTTCATCTTGTTAGGGCTGACCAACAACCATCAACTTACCGTTGGACTTTTCCTCATCCTGCTTGGGATTTACCTTTTAACATTGATAGGAAACATGTTGATTATTATGATCACACTGGCGAATGCCCAACTGTATACCCCGATGTATTTTTTCCTCCGATATGTGGCATGGGTAGAGATTGGGTATGTGAGTACCATCGTTCCTAAAACACTGGCCAACATGGCCACCGGCAACAAAAGCATCTCTTTAGCTGGTTGCTTCACACAGATGTTCTTCTACTTTTTTTTTGGGACCACTGAGTTCCTTCTATTGGCCACAATGTCTGTTGATCGATACATAGCCATCTGTAACCCTCTTCACTATCCAACCATCATGAATGAACAGATCTGCTCCTTATTGGTACTTTGTTGTTGCGCTGGGAGTTTGTCACTAATTCTAGTTCCAAGCATTCTTTTCCTTCAAATACCATTTTGTGGTCCTAATATCGTCAATCATTTCTTTTGTGACAATGGATTTCTAATCAAACTATCATGTGTTGACACTGGCCTCTTAGAACTTGTTAATTTTCTGATTTCCACATTAGCTTTGTTTGGGACTTTAATTATCAGCATTGTGTCTTACATCAAAATAATTTGTACAATTCTGAGAATCCCATCAACTACAGGGAGGAAGAAGACTTTCTCCACTTGTGCCTCACACATGAGTGTGGTCTCCATCACATACGGCAGTTGTATTTTCATATACATAAGACCCGAAGGCAGCAGCCAATTAGAATTCAACAAAATAATGGCTCTTTTGAATACTGTCATGGCTCCACTTTTGATCCCATTCATATATTGTTTGAGGAACAAACAAGTACAGGATGCTTTGGGGACTGAACTGAGACGATGGGTTGTGTTTTGCAAGAAATTGAGATGATTTGTCATTGATGTGACCTTGAAGTAGATATTTTATACATTTAAGTTCTACTTTGTTAAACTGTGGCATGTGCTGTTTTCAGATGTAATGAACGCACACTGAGATGGTTTTACAAGGGGACCTGAGAATACATAAGGTTATGGTAATCAGAAACCAAGAGTGGTGCGATGGCCTAGAGGTGGAGCTCTCACCTCACGATCAGAAGGCTGTGAGTTTGATCCTAGGTAGAGACAGCTATTTCTTTCTCTGGGCACAATGAGAATATATCTGCTGAATATAACTCTGAATTGGCGACAAGCAGGGCATCCGGCCACTAATCCCTCAGCTCCATTCAGTTTACCAGACTCCATCCCACAAGGGATTATGGGGTCATTAAAAGGTGATGATGATAATGATGATGATGGCAATCAGGAACCAAAACATCTGATAATCCCCAACAAAATAAACCACAATACATGAGAAATACACACACAATGTTTTAGTCTGGCTTTGGATTTGACATTGACAGAGAATGCATGATAAATATTTCTTGCAATTCACAATAGGCTTCTTTGCTCTTTGAGACGTCCCTGTGGGATCTTCACAGTTAGTCTTGAATACAGTACTGCCTGGCAAAAATAAACTAGGGAATAAAAGTTTTTTCAGATGTTGTTGTTTTGCCTCTGATTTGTATGAAACATACCCTAATACTCTAGAATATTGATTTTATTGATTGATTTTATTACATTTCTATACCGCCCTTCTCCCGAAGGACTCAGGGAGCTGTACAGCCATATTAAAACAAACCCATCACAAAAATTAAAAACCGTTAAAATAATTAAAGCAATTTGGCCGTTATTAAAACCCTTAGCTAAAACCACTTTAAAACCAATTAAAAGCCATTAACATTAATTTAGTCAATCAGGCCGGCTTGATTGAACAATAGAGTCTTCAGAGCATGACGGAAGGCGCGGAAGTCGGGGATCCTTCTTATATCCGGGGGCAGCTCATTCCATAGGGCAGGGCCCCCACAGAGAAGGCTCTCCCCCTGTGGGTCACCAGCCGACATTGCTTGGCCGACGGCACCCTGAGGAGGCACTCTCTGTGAGAGCGTATCGGACGGTGGGAGGCATTCGGTGGTAGAAAGCGGTTCTGTAGATATCCCAGTCCTAAGCCATGGAGCGCTTTGAAGATGGTGACAAGCACCTTGAAACGCACCCGGAAGACCACTGGGAGCCACTGCAGCTCACGCAAGAGAGTTGTTCCCCGGGAGCGACGGGTCGCTCCCATAACCACTCATGCGGCCACATTCTGGACCAGTTGGAGCCTCCGGGTGCTCCTCAAGGGGAGCCCCATGTAGAGAGCGTTACAGTAGTCCAGACGGGCATGAGTGACCGTGCGTAAGGCGTCCCGATCCAGAAAGGGACGCAACTGGGAAATCAGGCGAACCTGATAGAAAGCCCCCCTGGCCATGGCTGTCATATGATCGTCTAAAGATAGCCGCGTATCCAGGAGGATGACCAAGTTGTGAACCCTCTCTGAGGGGGACAAGATCTCCTCCCCAATAGCCAGTGATGGTATCAGTTGGCTATATCGGGGCGCCGGAAACCACAGCCACTCGGTCTTGGAGGGGTTGAGTCTGAGCCTGTTCCTCCCCATCCAGATCCGCACGGCCTCCAGGCAACGGGACATCACGTCAAATCAAATTTAAAAAAAATATATATTGTTTTTATTTGTTTCCTAGTACGATTTGATAGTTTATTAGTAACCTTGACTATCACTAAGTGTTGTATCTTTTCATTCTTGATGAATATATTTTATTCTCCTTATGTACACTGAGAGCATATACATCAAAGACAAATTCCTTGTGTGTCCAATCACACTTGGCCAATAAAGAATTCTATTCTATTCTATTCTATTCTATTCTATTCTATTCTATTCTATTCTATTCTATTCTATTCTATTCACACACACACACACACACACACACACACACAGACTCACACACTATAGACTGTATACAAAACATATATATGTTGTAAAATTCTAGGTGAGTCACACGCCATCCATAGTTCAACACAGCATTACTTTTCACTATTTCTCCAATCCTGTCCGTCATAACAGGAGTGTCTCAGTGCTTCCTAGGAGATCTGTTCCCTGCTTAACTCTCTAGGAAAAGGACCATCTGTTACATAGGTGGATGGGATGAAAGAAGTGGATGGAGAGATCGGGAATCATGAGTGGTCAAGAGGGAGATTGGTATTTAACTAGAAAATTGATTTGGTGCGATTAAAAACCCAGCCCACTTATTTAAAACATTGATTGACTGCTCATCTGATAAACGACGCTGGGACACTTCCAATCAAATCAAATCCTAGTTTTTATATTAAGAAGAGATTGGACAACTATTTGTCTGAAATGGTACAGGGTTTCCTGCTTAGGGGGCTGGACTGGAAGACCTCCAAGGTTACTTCCAACTCTTTTGTTACTCTATAACTCTGTTATTGCTAAATGTCTGGATTCTCAGTCATCCAGGTTATGGTTGCCCCAAAGGTGCTTTTTCAAAGGCCAACCGGATTTTCTTTGTTTTTCCTCAAAGACGTTTCGCTTCTCATCCAAGAATTGAAGACACTTCTTGGATGAGGAGCAAAATGTCTTTGAGGAAAAACAAAGAAAATCCAGTTACCTTTGGAAAAAGCACCTTTGGGATTTTTCTGCTATTCTGTTAAAATGATATATCTATTAAACGAAGAGCAGCTAACGCATGAGGGAATTAACCTATCACTATCAAAATGAGATACCTGTGTTTCCCCAAAAATAAGACCCTGTCTTATGGTGTGGGTTTTTTTGCCACCAAAAAAGGCACCAGGTCTTATTTTTGGGGTATGTTATCCACTGACTCACCTCACTTGCACAAAAAAGGAGCAAAAAGGAGCCCCTGGCCTTTTTGCTATCAGAGGCCTTCAGGAATGTCTTCTTTTGCAGCCAGCAAGGCTGGCGCGGCTTTCCCGAAGGCCTCTGCAGCCGATAACAGATCAATCCGCAGCTCTGTTATTGGCTACAGAGGCCTTCGGCGAAGCCTTGCTGGCTGCAGAAGAAATGGGCTGGCAAGGCAGGTGTCGGGGTGCGCGAGGCCTGGCTGCAACTGTCCGAAGGTAAGTAGTAGGTCAGCTCCACCTCCCCATCCCCGCCCTAGCTTAATTTTTACCCATGCACCCAGGAGTGGGCGCGGTCTTATTTTTGGGATAGGGCTTATATTGGGCACACATGTAAAAATCAAGCTAGGATTTAATGTTGAGATAGGTCGTATTTTTGGGAAAACACAGTAACACCATTTGCATTCTATGCTGCCAAAAATAACAAACCTTAGATCATGGTTTACAAATCACAGCGGTTGTGTAAAGGCAGAACCAAATCACAGCTAAAGTTGTTTTCTTGCACTAGCACTGATGATGTTACCTAGTTTGGGCAACAAAACGTCTGCAGGAAAACAAGCAAGCTCAGAGAGCGCCAAGGACCCCTCATTTTAACCCTGAGCTACAAATATTCTCCTTTATTGGTACCACAATTAAAGTTGCATGGCGTATTCCAAAAAAAGCACAATACAGGAGGGATGTGGACACAATGATTTTGCCTGTCTTTGGGTTTGACATCAATAGAGGAAACAGACATAGAATACCTATTACAGATTTCCCTGTAATGCATTTCTTCACTGCTTCAGGAATCCCTGAGGGATCTTTGCAAGCCAATCTTGAATACCTCTTACACCATCTGTTTCAAAATAATAATTATCTCCGTGGCTTATAAGAAGTTACTTCTATGTTCATTGCCATAAAAAGATACGGAAGGCATGCATGCAGAAAAATTGTCCGGTATACACCTGCAAACTAAGAATCATTCCAAAGGCACTCTGAATGGTGAATATTATCTTTTCCTAAATTTAAATTAGGAAATAAAATTGTGAAGGATAATTTCTCCTTCTTTTGGTTTGTCAGTACATGCAGTCTTGTCTAACAAACTGGGAGATGATTTTATTGGCAGAAAGAAGATAATGATATAGCATAGGATTCATGAAAATTTGTATGACTATTTTAAAGTAAATTGGAAATGGGGAGGATTTTGAAAATGTTTCAATGCTTGGCTCAAGAATATTGGGTTTTAATACTGTTCTCGAAAATCAAGAGACTGATTGCAAAGTTTCAGATTGTTACATTAGGTTAAGGATGGTTAGGACTGGTTTAGAAACAAAACTGAAGCCAAATTTTGTTTAATCATATACTGTACCATGTTTTCCGCAAAATAAGACACTGTCTTATATATTTTTTTTGAATGCTGAAATAAGCACTTGGCCTTATTGCCATGCGCTCAAAAGCCCAATTGGGCTTATTATCAGGGGCTGTCTTATTTTGGGGGAAACAGGATAGTGGCCAAAATTGTGGAAACCTTTTGGGAAAAGTGTATTTTCTAAAACTAGTTAATAACACCACTTTTTTTTTTCGGAGTAGTATCATAAAAATATATATGAGTGGAAAGATAACTTAATCAAGATGTAATGCAAGAAATTTTATGAAGGATTTGCTATTAGAATAGCAGTTACAGTATAAAGAAGAAAAGGGAGACACGTAGAAAAAATGAGATATGCAAAAATGATCACCATGTCAGTTAATACTTAGATGGGAAGCCTTTAGCATGAATTACAGCCTTACAATGTCTTCCCCATGGAGTGAACAAAGTCTTTTACTTCTGCAGCTGTTATCATGTGAAACCAAGATGGAATGATTGCTTCAATTAACTGGGTTTTATTGCTGGGTCGCTTCTGACTAACAATTTTCTGTAGTCGTCTCCATAGATTTTCAATTGGGTTAAGGTCTGGACTATTCCCAGGCCATTCCAGCAGTAGAATATGATTATTTTGAAACTCCAAAACAGAAGAAGGAGAAGGAGAAGGAGAAGGAGAAGGAGAAGGAGAAGAAGAAGAAGAAGAAGAAGAAGAAGAAGAAGAAGAAGAAGAAGAAGAAGAAGAAGAAGAAGAAGAAGAAGAAGAAGAAGAAGAAGAAGAAGAAGAAGTAGTAGTAGTAATGGTGGTGGTGGTGTTATTAGCCATCAAACCTCAAAAATACACTTTTCTCAAAAGGTTTCCACAATTTTGGCCACTACTGTAATTAGATGGGTCAGCAGTTACTCTGGGTTTAATACCTATCCTGCTGCACTGGCAGAAAATGATTTAGTGTTATTTGAAGAGGAATAATTTTTGAGAGCCGACATTTCTGGCCACTGTTTTTGGTAATTGTCGAACAAGGAAGACATATGGGAGGAGGGAATCTGCGTTGCCACATTGGGATGATCTCCACTATAGATTGATTATGTGTCATCAAATCATTTCTTTTACTCCTCCTTTTTTCCCCATGATGATCTGTCCTTAAACTGGTCCTTCAACTCTTCCAATGGTTCATTCATCATTGCTGTAGCCAAGTCTGTCCACTTTGCTTCTGGTCTTTCTATTCTCTTGATTCCTTCCACCTTTCTGAGCATGACAACTGTCTCCGGAGAGCTAGGTCTCTCCATTATAGACACAATAGAAATGTCATCGGTTTGTTGCATTCTTCTCTATGATCCTCCCTTCTTGGGTTTGCACGGGGATTCAAAGTAACAGAGAGA